GAAGACGAGCAGTGGTAATCACACGCATACGAATAATAATGTTGCGAACAATAAAATTAATAATGCTATTAATAATAATGACAATGATATTACGAATGCTACGAATACGAGGATGACTCATAATGAACATAAGAAGACGGAACATACGAAGACGCATACGGCCCAAACTAATGCGAAGACGAATTCGGATAGTAAGACCAATAACTGTAATACTAACGATACTACTAATAAGCATACGGGGAGGAATGATAATCCTAATCCGACGCACAAGAGTAATACTAATACGAATACTGCTACTACTAAAATTAAGATGAGCAACATCAGTAATACGCCGAAGACGACTAATGCGTAGAAGAAGAACAATAACATTTATACCAGCAGCACTAATTTGAACCATATGGTGACAACGAATAACAATCATATGACTACTAAGAATAATACGAATACCCCGAATACGAATACTGATAATAACACTAATAATACGAGTAATAATGATACAACGAATGCGGTTCATACTACTAATAACAGGAAGGACGATCATATTACGACCACGCTTAATCATAATAACAAGACTCATGCGAAGAAACATAAGACACACCATAATAAGACAAACGTTAAGGATTGGATAATACGAAGCAGACGAAGACGACTAATGATAATACGAACCATAATGCTAACCATAATAATAAACTAAGAACAGTAAGAGTAATACTACCGTTAATAATAAGAAAACAATTGAGGAAGAGGAAGGGAAAGATGAAGAGGAAGAGGAGGAGGAGGAGGAGGAGGCGGAGGCGGAGGCGGAGGCGGAGGCGGAGGCGGAGGCGGAGGCGGAGGAGGCGGAGGAGGCGGCGGCGGCGGAGGCGGCGGCGGCGGCGTCGGAGGCGGAGGCGGCGGCGGCGGAGGAGGAGGAGGCGGAGGAGGAGGAGGAGGAGGAGAATGAGGAGGAAGACCAGTTTAAACCCAAGAGTCATCAACGATGTTGGAATAAGCCCTCCGTCCAAGCTTCCTCCTCATAGGCCCCTACAAGGGTTCATTTCCACTGAGGGAACTGCTTCGTTGGAAGACAACCGTTTGAAGACCCTGATGCATGCCAAAACATCGTTCTCGGGATTCTAACGCCACGGATCAACCTGATTATAGCGTATTGACAGACCTGAATCGTACCAGAACGCCATTCTTGGGACGTCAACGCCGCGAATCAACGTAACTGTTGCGCCCTCATATTCCGGAACCCTTCCAAAACACCATTTTTGGTACGCTGATCATGGGAATCCGCGAAACTCTTGCTGCAAATTGTTACAACGAGCGTGCGCCGCGCTAAGGAGAGAGCCACATTTTGAACGACCCGCCCTCAATCCGTAAAACTCTTGCAATTTTTGAAAACGAATGTGCGCGGCGCCAGGCGAGGCCACATTTTGAAAACGACCCGCCCTCAACCCGTGAAACTCTGGCAAATTAAAACAACGAATGTGTTCGGCGATATGGCGAGAGCAACATTTTGAAAACCACCCGCCCTCCATTTGTGAACATGTCGTCATTTTTTGAGCTTCAGGGTCATAAGTGGTAAGGAAGTCTCAGGCGAAACGCCCGGACCGCCCTAAACATTGGCCTCGGGGTGCGACAGGGAGAAGTTATCGATAAAAAAGAATGGAGGAGGATGAGGAGGAGGAGAAGGAGGAGAATGATGAAGATGAGGCGGAGGAGGATGATGGCGATGAGGAGGAGGAGGAGGGATGAGGGGGGGGGAGGATGATGATTCTGCTGCTGCTGCTGCTGCTGATGATGATGATGCTGATGATGATGATGATGATGATGATGATGATGATGATGGTGTTGACGATGATGATGATGCTGATGCTGATGCTGATGATGATGATGACGATGATGATGCTGATGATGATGATGATGAGGGCGAGGCGCAGGAGGGGGCGGAAGAGGAGGCGGAGGAAGAGGATGATTAGCATGAGCATGAGCAGGATGCTGATGATGCTGATGATGCTGATACTGATGGTGATGCGGATGATGGTGCTTGTGATGATGATGTTGATGATGCTGATGATGATGATGATGACACTGCTGATGCTGATGCTGATGTTGATGATGCTGATGCTGCTGTTGCTGCTGCTGCTGCTGATGATGATGATGATGATGAAGATGATGGTGCCGATGCTGCTGCTGCTGATGACGATGACGATGATGATGATGCTGCTGCTGATGATGACGCTGATGCTGCTGCTGATAATGTTGATGCTGATAACGATGCTGAGGATGACGATGATGACGACGACGATGATCATGATGGTGATGCTTATGATGATGCTGATGATGATAATGACGATGATGGTGATGACGATGATGACGATGATGATGACGATGATGATTATGATGCTGATGCTGATGCTGGTGGTGTTGATGGTGATGCTGATGATGGTCACGGTGATGATGATAATGATGATGATGATGGTGATGCTGATGCTGATGATGATGATGATGATGA